ACGGCGCCAACGGACATAGGTAATAATATTAATACAATTGTAGACGGCGACGCGGCGTCCGAAATACACATTCGGGTAGAAATTGTTTTATTATACTAGCTGTTATATTATTGTTATCAAGCCGTGATAATAACCTAACCTAACCTTACCTAATACATGTAATCGTGACATACCGGTGATAAATCATCAAAGCCGGCCGAGTTAACCGATTTGTTTTTACTTTGAATCCAAGTTGAGCTAAATTAAGTGACGTTTAAAATATAAACGAATTCGAGTATCAATTATAGTTAATGTAGATATATTAAAGAAAATAATAACTCGAGTTAAGTTTAAAGTTATTAAAAAAAAAAAAAAAATTGCCCTCAATTACACTCTTATCTGCATGTTTTTATTTTTGTGTGATAATGATATTCAATTAAAAAACAAATGGTTTTCGTCGAAAAATGAATGCAAAATCCAAATATCATTTTAGAAACAACTTAAATTTTAACAAAATAACTAAGTTAATTTCTTTAGTAATATGTATTTTAGATTCTGAGTGGAGCGAGAAAGGGTTTTACAATGATGTTTATTATTTTATTTTATGTGAATACTTTTTCTACCAGAAAGCTTACTCCGATTATCAAGTATAGCACCTTTTCTGAAAGGAAATATTCTCTGGGTTGAACATTAAAAAGGCTATTTTTTCAAATATTCATTAATATTCGAGATAATGAGGAAAACCTGGTTCTTTAGATTAAACAAGATTGAAAAATTAAAAATAAGGTTGTCATTGGCAACCATTTTAATTTATTTTTTTTCATTTTAAAATCGTTTTTAAACAATCATTGTTATTCATGGAAACGCAGAATGTTGTAATCATTTTACTATAATATGACATATATATATGTTGTTAAAAAATCAAAATTATTAACTGAACTCCGCTTTTAAATTCGGCATCGTTTTTATAATATACAGAGAATTGGAGTTCTCGATTTTAACAGCTTTCTTATCGTATAATAATAATTTAGAAAAAAACTTGTGAAATGCGCAGATGAAATACTGTCGAATTTAATGGACCATTCTAATATTATTATGCAGTTTATCTTATCTTGTTTGTATATTTTTTAAATCGAGTGTATCGAGAATGTTTTGCTGTAATGTACTCCTCATGTTCTGCTCACTACGAGTATAATAAGGAAAAAATGTCTCATGAAATACTATATATAAGCGCCAACATTTTATAAAAAAAAAATTACTTAAAAATGCTTCCATCGAATCAATGGCATCGAAGTCAAAGTTCCAAGTCAAAATCCTGACAACGTTAAAATCCCGCTACGATGTGACAGATGTCTCATCTTATATTATAGACTTTTAAACAAATTACGAGTAAATACACAGTTAAATATAATGTTGGCATTATATGCGCACTTGTGGTGTGTAATGAACTCGGTGGTATTATCTGTTAGGATTTAGACCTTGTCGGGATTTCGAACATCTTCCTTTTAAGACATATTGCAAGTTATTTGTACAAATTGATCAAGGAATCTATGACAAACGTGTAATATTAATTATTATTGCGCTAGACTAGGTATACTAAATATCTACCGACAGACTTACGAATATTGATGGTTAATTTAAATAAAAACAAATGTGGCATCCTGTCCACCAACTCCTTAAAGTTGCGGTCGGAATATCTGAGGTCCCGAACGCCCTGAATAGACCGGCGTCACTGCGCTGGATCTTTCGGTCATTGAATATTTCATACGCTACATTCAAAGAGTTCGGTAAAAATATCGAATGTATTAAAAATATACAAAATTCTACTAGGAATCTGTTCACGCGCTACTTAAAAATACATATAGATTTATACATTGTATTATATTTTCGATATCACTGTAAGTACCGCAACCATACGGCGTGTATCTCTTGCGAAAATGGTAAATTTAACACAATGCTGGTTTTAGGGTATCGTTTAGCGCACGTTTTGCACACGGAAGTGTTGTATATCTTTTCGGTGTATCTCACGTGTAACGGAATTATTGTACAAGAAGAGAAAAAAATCATGTTTTGATAACTGACGATAAAAAAAAAAGAAAACCGTTTATTTTCATATATATGTTCGTGAAATGTTATCACAGTATTTATTTATTAAATATATTATTTAAAAATAATCAAGAGTTATATTGCAAGTGTATATAATTATTATTTATCGTATAATATTTGTGTAGTATTTATTTCGATTAGTTATCTTAATTTGTAAATAATTAATACTGAAATCTCGAGTACACATCTCAATAACATTACGTTTAATAAAACTTTTCTCGAAATATTAAATAAATCACACTAATGATGGATCTTTACGAAAACTCATAAGACGCGTGGGTATTGATCATCCCGTTAATTATTCGTGTTATATTTTCAATATTAATAAGTTTCGAGCGCAACGAAAAGTTTGTAATGTTTTATTTTTCTTTTTAACTTTGTCGAAAAATAAAAAAAAAAGCGATGTTTTTTACCGGCTCATTAGTTATATAGGTTTATCATATAAGAACAACTTTAAGCAAGTAATACGTATACCTACACTAATTATGTACCTATCTTCGAACCAGGGTCAACTTATTATTACTGAAAGTAGGTAGTTATCGCATTTTGCGCGGCGAATAATTTCATTAAGCGCAGAACTCATTGCTTCACATTATAAACACGTGTTAAGAGTTAAGCACAATATTACGAACGTCAAGCTTATACTTGAAAACCACAAACTCGTGGAGAATCGTTCGTTCCAATCGGCTCTGTCACAAGCGTTTCGAATCATAGCCGTTGTGCGAACGAATGTAATTTTTTTAAAAATATTTTTTTGAGAGATTTTCATGTTTACACGATCGTTGCGCAGAAAATAAAAAAGGTTTACTACGACGCCAATGTGAAAATCGCGCTAAACTTATAAACGTGTTAGGGAAAAAGGGAACGGGAGTCGGTTATTTATCGAGTTTATAAAAATCAACGTTTTATAATACAATTCGTTTTTTTTTTTTATTTTTACAGTAAATCTTGTTCTGTAGTTTTTAGCTGGTGTGTGTGATGTATATGTTAATTAATTTTTTTTTAGTACAGGTCGCCACGGACCCCTCAAATGGTTACACCTTGTGGATAGTATTGAAGGGTAGGAGTCAAACAACTTGACCACTGTCGTCGGCGAAACTTTTTCTTTGTATTCAATATAATAGAATTATAATCCTCGAAATATATTCCGTCCCTGCAGCCTAAAGCCAGATAAAAAACGAAAAGTACAAAGTAAACCACTAAAAGTATACTGTCTATATTGATTAATGTAAAATTAAAATTAATTACATTTTACATTTATTTCAGTTTCCTCAATCAATTTTTATCCCAATTTTACTAATTACCAATAATAGATTATTGCCATATTTATTATCTTCCGAGAAAATAAAAAAATAAATGCCTATTATTTTTATTATATTGAACAAACGAATACTTTTTTGTATTGTGTAGAATTGTAAATGTGACATACTTTGACCGTCAGTTTATTGAATTACTTAAACTTTAAGTAACACTTATCATACTATACATATATATATATGACATTGGGGAAATTAACATTAATTGGACAAATTATGTTTTTGAGAAAAATAGCATGTGATAAAATATCACGTTCATAAAATAAAATAAATGTCGAACATAGTATATTGTTGCGTGACTGATCTCTGATTTTATTTTCAAACAAATATTTAGAAATGAATATTTCTGAGTTGATTGCGGAAGTCGAGTCGTACCTTTTATGTTAGAAAATATGTACAATTTAAACGAACGATAATAGAGTGGCCAGAGGGTCATTGTATGCTAGTTTCATAAAGCGCGATCATTAATATTAGGCTTGTCATTTTGCAGGAAGTCGGTGGCGTGATATGGAATGAAGAATAATTTAGTTTGATGACGTGTAGAGAAGGGATTTAAAAATTATTAAACGAGAGAAGTGTCGGAGAACCAAGAAATTAAATCACGAAGAAAAGAAATAGATTATGCGGAGAGTGCCGACGGCGGTCTACGAGGGACGGCACACTCGAGTTTTGTGAAGATAGTCATGGGAGGGGGGGTTGGTGAGGGACGGGCTTTGCATATTTAACAAACAGGCGATAAAGCTCATCGATAAGTAATAGGTATAGTAATAATATTTTATTTTTAATTTGCGGGGAGCGGAATAAAATCACTCACACCGACTCGTGATAAGTGGTAAACGGGGTAGTGAGTACCTATTTACTATACAATTTATACGACCGGTGGATTTTATTTAAGACGTATATGGCTATTAGGGTAGTCCTTATCTTAGTTTTGGAAAAAAAAAATTCAGGTGCTCCACGCGAATTAATAGCCTCACCCAGATCGGTTCCGAATAATGAAAACAAAATTGCAGTCAAATGTTTTCAGATGGTATTTTCTCTATCCATTCGTCTCCTTATTTTTTTTAAAAAATGTTCTATTAAACAACAAACGTATCTAATTTTTGTTCTTTAAAACAACATTCGCTGTACGGTCTGACTATAATAATAATGATATATATATGTATATATATATATTTTTATGAAAAGTTGTTTGTTCAAAGATCTGAAAACTGAAAACTGAAAATTGTTCGGGGTATTCTACGCCGGTATTTCTATAGGCGATGAGCGTTTTGCGAAACAACGATGCGAAGGGACCGGTCGAGAGAGGAAAAGATCTGGAAAAATTCGACAGTTTTTTGTTTTTTTGTTGTTGTTGATTATTTGGGACCGAACCGCGGGCGTCTGCAATTTTTTTTTCACCTTAACGTACGCTTCACGATATATATAAATATAATTTTCCGTCGGTCGGTCCGGGCGATACGGGTATGACGGAAAATACTCGGGATATTTTGTCCGCTACTATATTACTAAATACCGCCGTAGCGTAAACGTCGGGCGCGATCCAACAGAATGCGCGGTTGTCCCACGTGACTGGCAGCGCGTGCGACTACGCGGTCAGAAAAACTCGAGGCCTGCAGCCCCGCTGGAAAATCCAGTAGAAATTCGACTGTTTACCGTACGTACCGATATGCGCGAGACGCTTCGAAGACGTGTGATAATAATATTAAACGCTTCTTAACACATGCAATACATAAATATTTATTTTTCGCCGTTGTTGTTAATGTTTTGTCAACTATGTTACCTCGTTTAAACGCACATTACGTATTATAATATTATTTGCGCATAACATTACCTAGTTGTAGTTGTCTTATATCATGTACCTAAATGTGACGCATTGTCGGTAGTTTTTTTTTTTCGATTGATATTTCGTTAAAATCCGTAAAAAAAAAAAAAAAAAAAAAATCCAAACACGTGATAAAAAGTGAGTACACACGTTTATGAAACATATATTGTGCTTTTTTATTTTCCATATTGTTCGACAGGCTATACGCGTTTATGATTTTAATTTTTCAAAATATTATTATACGTTCTCATAACTCCTTCGTTCGATTAATTTACGATAAACACAATAATAATGTGCACGTTTTTTTTTTTTTTTTTTTTTTTTTTAAACGACAATAAATCAATTTTCGTAATCAATTTTTACAGAGCTTAAATATTTTTATTTTCTATAATTATATTATTATTTATATTTTATCTTCGAATTCGCTTATAATCATTAAGCACTAATAAAGTTTTATTATTTCAAGTCGATACTTTTTGTATACGTATATGAAATTAATTAAATTAATTTTATTTCATTATACTTATGCACTTATAAAATATTGTACATTTAAAAAACAATCGAATTCAATATCTATAATTGATCGTACGGTGAGAATTATTGGAATTTTAAAATTTTTCATAATTTATAATAAGTTGAATTTATTTCAATTATTAATTTTTAATACGTGCAATATTCCTTCTTACGTGGGGATTTTTTTGGTTTATCGTAATTCACTTGCGTACGGTTATTTGAAATTTTTAGTAAGTTTTCGTTAGTAATTATACTGTGCTCGTATAATATCCTTTGCGTATCGTAATCTATTATATACGGCTATTGAGAAACTTTAGGCGATTTTAGTTTCTGGACACATGTTTAGTATATATCTGTATAGTTAGAGTACATTATATTAGGAAATCTATAAACACGTTACGACGTCGCGTTTTTTTTTTTTTTTTTTTTTTTTTTTTGGTTTACATTTATCGTAGTTTTTTTTCATTTTTATCGTATTTTACGCCGAGATACTCTATATTCTACAGAAAATATATTTCTTATATACATATACATCCCATACATTTTTATTGTTTTATAATGCATTAAAAAATTAATTCGAGTTAAATTATTCGGCGAATTTACAATCAGTCTGTTCATTGTTTTGCTGTTTTGTATGGTGATCTATTTAATTTAATTATATAGACAAAAAAACTCGTAAAATTATTGAAAAAGAAATTGAATTAAATAACTACGTCAAAAAAAAAAAAAAAAAACACCAACAAATTTAATTTTAACGATTTTATTATTTTAAATTTTTATATTTTTTTCGTGTAGGTAGTAAAAATATTTTACTATTAAACAATTTCATATTTTCAATTAACCTATAAATAATATACGATAGTTTTTCTAAAATATTATAGAAATCGCGAAAAATCAAAAAAAATGTCCTTTTTGATTACAAATTAAATTAAAAATTCTACAAAAACTGTCTTGTCATTTTTTGATTGGGGCAGGATATTTGGTTGAAAACATAAATTTTGAAAATTTAAAATGAAGACAATGTTGATGCCATAAATTTGTTTGTTTGTGAGTCTCATATTTTTCCGGTTTTTCAAAATATTATAAAAGCAATTTAGAAAATCAAATAATGGTTTTATTTTTAACCAACTAGATCCAAAAGGTGACAAAAAAGTTTTCTAGTTACAAAAAGAGAGTTATACTTCGCACGATGGTTGAGCCACTGTTGTTGGCGAAAAGTTGGGAAGGTAACATATAGAGGGGAATTTAATTTATTTTTGTACGCAGCGACAAATCATTGCTAACGAAAAACGATTAGGAACAAAGTTTCTTATGTATTACATGTACGTAAATTTTCTATTGTTTCTTAGGTTTTCCGATTTTCCCAATTATTGTTTATACCGCTTGAAAAATTAAAAAATGGTGCCTTCAAATTACAAAAATCTTAATCCAAAATGCAATCAAAAAGGTCATTTCTCATTTTTTTATAAGGGAAAGTTTTATAAGACAAATGTTGTAAAAAATATAAATAAATATCATTGTAAATTCAATACATTACTCCTATTGTTCAGAATCTAAAAGTAAAAGAAATTCGTCATAATAGTAATAATATACTAAATTAATATCAAGTAGACTTTTTTAATTGGTACATGTTTTTAATTTGTTAATGCGTTTCTCGGCGATAGGTGTACGGATGCATAACGGCTGGGTAATATAGAAAATATCAATATGATTTTTCAAAGAATAAAAACGACACGAAAACATTGAAATTCAGTTTTAAATTAATTTACAAGACGTAACTCTTCAGTAAAACCAAAAAGTTTTAGTTATAATTAAAATTCGTTAAAAAAAAAATGTCCATGCATCGAAAAAGAAAAAGACAGAAACAAATTTTGGGGATAATATTGCAGTACTCTCATTCAATTTTAAACAAGTCAGTTTTTCACAAATTAATATGACGGTTGAAAAATCTTATGCCTGTTAGGATTATAATTTAATAGCACAGTATTAAACTTCATTTATAATTACCTAATTTTATGATATGTACATTTTAAACTCTTTCAAAATCTATATAAAAGTACCCTTTACAGTGATTTTTGAGATAAAATGCTTACAGCAAAATAGATAGAGTAGAATATTATGTGTTTCGATTTACTTACTTAGGGATATCTCGATAACGTAAATAAAAAAAAATTATATATTTTTTTCAAAAATTCTAGCTGTTACTGTTTTCTTGACCGATATTCTGAGAAAAAATGCTTTTGAGATTACGGTGGAAATAAAAATGAATAATATGAGAAAAAAATTGTAATTTCTATCGTGTATTTGGTGCTAAAAAAAAAAACCCACACACACACACGCAGTATATTTTCGTCTCTTATTCATCAGTATTTCCAATGTCCTTGTTAAATACACTTCGGACTCAGCTGTATACAAGTAGATACGTACGTATACAGAGTGTATTTTATGCGGTAGAGTTTTTACTTTATCCGGTTATATGGCCGCGGTGGAACGTGTGCCCTGGGTTGTCAACGTTTTTACAGTTGACGAAAGGCGCGCGTAAAAAACAAACCGAGCATACTTATGAGTTAAAAAATTGTTTTGACAGCGAGGGTACCAAAAAAAAATAACCCTGAGTGACAAAACAAGTAAGCTTAATGCGTCGTCAAAACTCTTAGGGTAGTTTCTTTGCTTTGTATTTTTAATTTAAATACTTAAATAAGCCGTCCGAGTTAAAAACGATTTTTTCACTGCTGGCGGGTATAAAATAGCCAGTTATCGTATTTATTATATGAATAGTTTAATTCCATCACCTTTAATATGACTGTTTATACACCAAGAGGGAGACCAAGGAACCGTTGGTTGGACGGGATTTCAAAGAAATGTAAAATTAAATGGGAAATATATCGTTTGGGAAAAATGTATTGGAGATAGTGTGACGATAGAAGGAAAAGTTGCCGTTGACAGTCTTTAAGTGCTGACAAGCAAGATAAGAAGAGATAAGAAGATATTATTATAATTAGATGCATTACATATTTCTATACAAAACGTGATAGTAGTTAATAAATTATAAAATAATACTGCAACAGTATTTTATAATTTAAATAAGGTCATAAATTGAATATAAAATTTGATCCAAATTCGCTTTCGTATGTTTACCGTAGACAATAAAATAATGGAAAGGACATATCTATACTGTTTTAATTAGGAGTCCTGGGGTTTTTTGACGGTAGAGAGAACATCGATTTTCTACAAGAACGAATGACCGTGATAGCATTTTGACTGTCTTGCTGAAAGTTTTTTTATGAAAATGTCTATATTATTTATCTATATATATTATTTATGCTATTGTTATTATTTCCTTAGAATAGATTAGATTTTGACTCGTATATTATATTATATTATAATTTTTGATTCTGAGTGGAGCGAGGAGTGAGAAGCGAGGAATGAATGGTTTTAAAATGATGTTTATTTTTTTTTAAAAGGAAATGTTTTCTAGGTGATACTTAAGAGATGTAATTTTTCAAAATTCTCATTAATATTCGAGATAATGAGGAAAACCTGGTTCTTTAGGTTAAACAAGATTGAAAGATTAAAAATAAGGTTGTCATTGGCAACCGTTTTAATTTTTTTTTTTATTATAATATCTTTTTTAAACAATCATTGTTGTCATGGAAACGCACATTGTTGTAATCATTTTACTATAATATGACATATATATATAGTTAAAAAATCAACACTATTAACTGAACTCCGCTCAGAATCGATTTTTCGTTATTATTTTCCCACCCACAAAAGTGGCTGCATCTGCGTGTGAAGTATGCCCGTCTATTTTTCCTTTGTTTATAATGTTCGCATACTTTTTATTATTAAGGTAATTAATATTCGAACATTTAACACTATCGTTATTAATAATAATATATTTAATTATTCTAAACGTAAATCACTTATCATACTAATATGAATATTGTAAATATTTTCCCCAGACAACTTTAAAAAGTTAAATCATTAAATTTACAAGTGATAAGGTTTCATCCCAATTTTTGGTTATTTCTTATGCTATTCGTATCATTTTACCGTAAAAAAAATGAGTGGTTTTTATTCTCAACCGATGACTAAAAATAAATAAATTTAGAAGTGAACTTAATACGTACTTTTTGTTTTTGGATTAAGAAAACGTTAAATTATTTATGAGATATCGTTATTAAGAAGAAAAAACTGTTAGTAATTAGCCGATTCGCAGTTGCAGGCGCATTAATTAATAAATTATAACAAATTATTGTTAAAAAAAAAAAAAAACCAAAAAGAAAAAAAAAACGATAAACCATCAAAAATCGCATTAATTATGATATAGAGTCGAGTACGTTGTTGATAATGAAATATTATAATGTCAGTCGGTGGTTTTATTATATTTTTGATGCATTTAAAAAATAGAAAACATAAAACCCGAAATTATAATATTGTATTAACACGCATTGTATTATAGTATCGATTCGCACACCATTATAAAACACTTGCAATGAATCCAAAAAAAAAAAAAATCATCGGTTTGTTCGATTTATATAGCTTAAAAAAATTGACAATCTAAATAATAGGTAGAGGTACACGTGTTGTGAGTACGCTCAACCGCGCGTTTTGGTAACCTCGTCGAATCGCCTAAAAATAGATTGTTTCCAATTTCGTATTATTATTTTAGTACGTTGTCGAAGTGCAGGTTTGGGCATCGCAAGTCTCGTATCGTATCAGCTAAAGGATATTTGAACAATATTTATTCCGTGCTTCTATATTATAATAGTTTTTTTTATTTAAATGAGACGATGGATACAGGGTGATCCATTTAACCAGTGTTTTTCCGCCGGAACATTTTAAGTGAATTTTATCTGGGGATTTTTTTATACAACCATCACGAAATCGTTAGAGCTTTATTTTAACACTATTGGCCATTTGTTATCCCAACTCTTCGTATTCCTTTAACGGGCGTTGTTCAAGGAAGAAGCCTCATTTTAAATACAAATTTGCGTAGATTATTTTTTTATTTTTTTTTATTTTTACCATGCTATACAGGACTTATCGTGTTTGATATAGGTACAAAAGCTTAGAATTTGGATCAGGATAGTGGCGGTAACAAAGAGTGATTAACTTCATATCAATTTTTAGACGATGCATTGGTACCTTACTCCTCTCAAACTTGAAAAAAAGGGAGTTTTTTTTTTGCAAATCAAAAGTGCACCCTCATATAAGGTTTAAGACGAGTCGGAGTGAAAAATCGAAAACAGTGTTAAAATATCAAAGCGATTCCATGTAATGATTGAATGAAAATAAACAAATTTAAAAAATCAAATCCACCGCGTGAAAACCGCCGGTACACGATAACACGGATCACCCTATAGACAATATATCGGTTTTACAACGGTATTGTATTTTATGTATAACAATTTTCCCGGGTCGGAGGAATACGCAATTTAAAAGTTTCCCGGAGCTCCTTCTATTATCCTTCTGCTTCATTTATATACCAGCTATCATATTATGCCATGCATATCGATTGAAAATCTCAAGTTTGGCTGGCCATTTTTTGGTTTATCCTCGAGCTCAGAACAAAATTAAGAAAAACCCGCCTCCGTCTAAAAACTGCAAAATAACAACTGTACAGGATACGCGTGTATATAATTTACGGCACACGCCCGTGAGTTTCCGGACGGAATTGATTTTTCGTTATTTTCTCGAAAATAGTATGTACCTAATATTATATATATATCACGGAAAATCATGGAGCTGGGAATTTTCAACGATTATTTATTATTTTTACGGGCACCGTACAAGCGGATAGAGGGGTTCAGCTGATTGGTCGTAGCTCATCTTTTAAACACTATCCTTTTTTTTTTTTTGTAAAAAGGTATCGATATTTTACTGCTGACAAACAGCGTGTTACATATGTCGGTTGGTGTAAAAAAAAAAAAAAAATCCGATTCGATTTATTATCACCTACCGCGCACATTTTGCCGTCCGATTTGACGGACATTTTGAGCGACGGCCACCGTGTAATAGTTTTTCTCGCCGAGTAGTGCAGGCAACGATGTGCTGGAGTTCTCATTGCAATTTATACTTTTGAATTAACTTCCGGTCAGAGGAAAATGCGGAGAATTGAAAATCTCGTTGAGAGCGCTACATAGTTTTGTAAAAATTAGTTTATGTACTTACGAGCTTACGTTAAAATTGAAAACCCCGAAAAGTTCTCGGGTTTCTTCCTTTTTTTTTCTAACCCGAAGAGATGCAATTTAAAAACGCGATTATAAACTTATTTAACTTTACAGAATCTTGAGAATGTCAAATACCTACGTTTTATTTTCATTTGAAGGGTGCATATTATAGGATTTTAACTGTATTTCCAGCATCGAGTAGATACTTGCCGGGTGTACATTATTGTATAAGCGCTTAGAATGTAAAATAGTGCAATTTCGGTTTAGTCGAGTCGAGAAATAATTTACACTTGACATTTTGACGAACTACATTTTTTCTGACGTACAGGCGATTATACTGTATTTATTGTTTCTAAAAACTCAGCGTATGGGATTTATCGTGAAAGTTGGTACCTATATTCAAGGGTTTTTGGACTTCCGAGGGTTGAGCTAGGAATTCAGTCAAGGGGACATGACACTATAGTATGTTGACATTTTACAATAAGAAATTTAGATTTTGTATGTTTTTTTCTCCGCGGGTTCCCATTTAGTCTGCGGTCATCGTGTACTGAATGCATTGGTGATGAAGGGGGAAATTGTTTGTTTTAATTTCATGACAACAATTGATCTATGTATTCTATCGCGAATATTGAGACTGAAATAAGAATGTCCTATATTCGTATTATTAAAAAATATTTAATTACATTTTCTATCGTGAACTTGTAGTGTTTTTTTAATTTTTTTCATATTAGTCGGATAGTTCACTCAGTTTGCTGTGCTATTTTATTATTATTGTTATGCTGAGTTAAAGCTAATTTACCGAGAACGAAAAAAAAAAAATTGTTGTTTTTTAATATACTAAAAAGGATTTCGGTCGGAGGATTTTTATGAGAATCACGTGTACATAATTTTACTAAAAATTGTATTATAAATAAAAACGTGGATGAATATACTTAAAATATATTAATAATATCATATTTGTGTTGGGTTGTGTAGGGATAATGAAATGTTATAATATGAACTTACTTACTTGGAAAATATTCACCCTGTTGCCGTTAACGTGACGTTCGTTCGGGCTGAACTTTTAGCCATAGGGTTTATTATAAACATGCATTTATATTATAAAATAGAGTTTTTTTTTTATTATTGTTCTTTTTATCTTTCGTAATTTCTGAAGGTAGGTATAATATATTTTCGAGTAAATAAAACACAGAGATCATTTTCGCTATGGGCCAATGATGGAAGGTTGGATCCAAAATAAGATCATCTTGAAAGCCCTAATAACTAACTATTTGAAGAAAAATAACGATTTAATAAGCTATACCTTACAGCCACAACTAGACATCTGTTAGTGTGTTAGTGTTCGTGGGGGGGGGAAGGAATTTGTGAATTCATGTCATTATCACATATTATACATTACACTCATGTTTTTAGTCGACATGTGTAGTATTGAAGAATTCCTTTCAACAAGATTTAAACGATATAAGTGTACGGGTAGTTTTCATTTATTTACTTGACTCTTTTCACTTCCATCAATTATTATGATGGATTATCTTAGTTATCTTTATTAGTAGTAGTATGTATATATTTTGATTGAATTAGACATTTCACTATGGATTCCTAGATAAGTTCGTTCCTGTAAAAACAGTATTAACATTTGAATTGGTATACCGTTATTATTATTTTTTTTTTTTATTGGAACGTATTCTTAAACATATTCTTTAAACAATTATCGATACGTACCAAACTAAGCAATTCAGTTTTGAAATGAATTTAATATACATATTTCTGCTGAATTAGAAAAAAATGCTCAATTCATTGAATAAAAGGACGGACATACTTCACACGATGTGTGGGCCACTTTTGTAGGTGAGAAGTTGGGAAGAGTAAAATTAAATGTATATCTGTACGAAAAGATTAATCATTGCTAACGAAAAATAATTCTGAGCAGAGTTCGGTTATGCAATATATACGGTTATATTTCGGCCTTATGAAAGGCCGAAATATTTACAATTTGAAAATAATATATTTCATAAATTTCCTTGTTTTTCCCACATTTGTTCACGGGTTTTCCCATTTATTCGGAAAACCCCTGAGAAAATCGAAAATGACTTTCTTAAAGTACCAGTCAGATTTCCTTTTAGAAAAATATGCTATACTTAAAATCTGAGCAAATATTCTGGTAAAAAAGTTGTTCAAAAAAAAAATTAAATAAATATCATTGTAAAACCAATACATTCCTCGCTCTACTTAGAATCTAAAACAAGTATAAAAATGTTTTATTAAATATTGTATAATAAAATAATTATGAATTTCACATTAGAAAGGAAAAGTGCATTTTTTTTTTCGAATTTGAACTCAAATAACATGGGTTATTTTGAAAACCAATATATAATAGTATTTTAAGTATGATGTATGTTATGAAATCAAATAGGTATTCTCAAAATCTTCATAATATAAATAATACATAGCTCCTCCATCGTTTGATTTGAATTTAAGACTTTCACACCAGCACTTGAATATTAATAATCTCAATTTATTCATTGGTTATTGTATACCTACGCCCTTGATAAGTTCGAAATCTTTTCAGGAGTGGCAATCCACTCGTCGTTGTTTGCGGTCGAATCCTGCAAGACAGGCGATTATTGGGGTCGAGATTCTGATCTAAGTGACTATATTTTATTAATTTAACGTGTTTAGTAAGTGCTGCATGATAAAACAACGGAATTTTTAATTCCGGAATCACTTTGATTTAATTCCCATAAACTATAATATAGGTCAATGCAATAATATTATTGCGCCCTTTATATATCCGTATCAAAGCAGTATTCGATTAAAAAAATAAAACTGTACTCGGCCGATTTTATACACAATATGTTATATAGGATATCCCTGTCCTACCGTGTTCCGCTGGTTTAATATATTACAGTAGGTCAAAAACCATAGAACACGGTGGAACACCTTGCATAAATAAATTATAAAAAATTCGCGATTATTACGAATACATTTCTTTTCGAAAACAATGAAATATGTGATTAAACATTTAAATTTATCAGTATGTATATAAATTGTACGAATAATTTTATCCACATGAAATCAAATAAAAACGATTTCCTTGTTCACCAACTAGACAAGATTTGGTTTTACAAAAGTCACTGCACTTGAAGATTTCAGGTAGAAAAACAAAATCGATAACATTGACAATAATGACATTTTTACTGCCGTAATTCTTTTTCGTTTATTTGTCCCATATTTTTTGCCCTAATTATTTTTAAAACTACACGGAAAATTAAAAAAATTACCTCTTTAATATATCAATTAGATTTAATGCGCAACAAAAAAGATTATTTGTCATTTTTTGATTGGCGTAATAATTTTGGTAGAAAAATGATTTACAGACGGATAAAATATAAGCTAATATCATAGTGAATAAATCAATATATTTTTTGATGCCCTTAGAATTTAAACAAATCAAAAATGATTGTACTACAAATGCCTAATTTCATAGCAATATATTTATATAGTATTTTTTTGTAATACAAACCAAAATTTGTTTTGTTATAGATGGACCAAGATGAAAATCAAAAATCCGATAACAAGCGTCGCCAGTCGCTGAGCATCGACAAGGCTGCGTTCCTATTGCTCCGAATTAAGCGGGTGTTCAAAAAAAGAAGCCAAAGTCATCACACCGAAAAAAGGTTTTTAAAAAAAAAAAAAAAAACAACAACATTATCTCATAGTATTTAAGCGAATTTAGTTTCTTGTATTAAACGGTCTACATCATTATTTTACGTTTTATTTCAATGTGCCGCGTTCGGTAGAAAATAATTTATGCTTTTTTTTAAATTTATAAAACTCGTAAAATGTAAATTGTTAAATAACTCATACGTGTATTCTCGTATAACGAAATATAAAATATTATTATCATTTCGTAAGTATACATGAGTATATGTTATAAAAAATGATAGTTCAGAGAAATATATAAGAATATTAAAAAAACATTACAAATAATTTCGGAGTAGCCTTTAAAAAAAAAAAAAAAACAATTTCAAAACGATAATAATATTTAAACGGCTAAAAAGTTGACATTTTATAACACACTCTGTCTTAAATATATAAAACATTACAATTTAAAAGTAGCGGAGACAAAATTCTCTAGAACATTAAAATAATTACAAAGTTGTATATTTCGTTTGGAAAACGTTGTATTTTATTTTGCCGAGTAGGAATACGAATACAAGTTAAAATTTCCATTGTCGTCCGATCTTGGTTAAGCTAAATTAAAATTGTATCCGTTTCGCGTGTTTTATAGGTATATGCGGAGAATCTATTTTTATAACATTAGTGGCAATCGTGTTGAATATATTATTTGAAACTAACGATGGACACAATCGACTAGTAACTATTGAACTATTCGATAGTTGATCGCATTCGAACCGCTCGAAAAGTTTATTTATTCGGTAATGGGGAAGAAAAACTATTACATAGTTAAAACATAGTTTTTGGAAATATTCAATAGTTTTCCCGAATAAAATTACTCGTGTTTGGTCTTAGAAAATATGCTCGGCAGTTTATCCAAACCGTCGAAAACCGTCGATAGTATAAAGTATTCAGAGAGGCCAGAATTTTAAATTATAATATAAATCTGAATTTATTTTAGAAAATTAAAATTAAATAGGTATACAACTACTACTAGTCAACGGTTAATACGAAATATATTTTATTTGTTGATTTATATACCTATGTGTATGAGTATTATGTAGATTTTTTATTAGGACGGTACACCAAAGCGTTTGTCGTCCTTTGTCTGTAGTCTGACGGCTGAATGTAACAAAAATGCGGTTTCGTGTTTCCAAAAGGATCTCAACACGAAAATTACATCGATAAATTAAAGGCGACGATGATAACTTATGTTTTCGGAGGGGATTTTATTTTTTTACCTACTATACAATAACATTTTGGAGTAACAGAAACAAATTAATAACAAATTTTCGTTTTAAATAACCAAATTTCACGTAGACATTGTCTGGGAATAATATAGACATCGAAAAATCTCCCCGTGAAAAAAAACCGTATAGTAAACGCGTTTTCGTCATTAATTTGGCGAAGTAACTTTCGTTTCGATTTTATTATATTAGGGAACCAGAGAACTATAGAGAAAGTACGAAAAAACTATTTTTGGTACATTAGATTTACTGCACAGAGACTGCTAACGCCGGTGCATAGCGTATAATATGTTCCTATACGTATAATATTTATTTATTTAATGACGACCGAAATAGATTTGTCCGGTTAAAAGAAAAAGGTTATATAGGAATTAACTGCAGCAGTGCAGTCGGTAATTGAATGTTATTTTGTTTGACGATACGCACCTGCACTCGTATAATATACGAAATAATAATTTCTAGTTTGTAAACTAATAAAACCTGTAGCAGTGTTAACGTTTGGAAGCGATAATAAAAGTCTATTACAGTAAATTAAATCAATCGGGACCGCAATAGCTTTGTATAGACTTACAATAATTATTTTCTTAAATCGACTATTAATTTTACATGCAGTTGAAATAAATCAAACGAATGTCGATTTAGCCCATTAATAATAAATATATCCGAGTAATTCGACTCGAGAAATGCATTAAGGTCGGTGACGATTTTTTGAATGTTCATCAATTTTGTAAAATTTAGACATTTTTTTTTTCCACATCTTAACGATCATCTTAATGATAAGGCTTTTCCATTGATTTATTGCCCAACACCAGTTTACGGGCACGGGGTACAGCCTTTTTTACGGACGTATATAATGGTTTAGACCGAAAAGCCAGACAAACCTGTACCTAGTAATTATGTTTGATGGATTTAAATTTTTGAAAACGCGCCTGTTTCGAATCTTTAGGTTCTTGAATAGAAAACGTTGGTATTATTTTTAAAATTTTAATTACATTTATCAAAATTAAAAGAGAAGGTACTTTGAGTTCTTATATTTGTAGACATTTTTTCAATTAAGGCGATACATTGTTTTACGATTTTCTGTAAAACAATGAAATTATATTTTCATTATATCCTAGTAAAGATGTGAAGCACGCCTAAATAGTTATAATCATCTGACGAACACAACTCCTACAGTGTAATCTGGCTTTTAGGTCTAAATCTACTAAAATATACACAGTTACCAAGCTCCTTAACGAAAATGCATAACAAAACGCATTTTCGAGTTACTCGTATTATTTTAAGCTCGGCCGTTTTATAAATGATTAATACATATTTTAAGAGTGTACGCCGTGGGATTTAAATCTTAATAATAATAATATTATAACGAGTACTAAACTCCTTAAAAACGCAAATTCAATATTTTTAAATATTCACTATTATTAGCAATATTCAGCGATATTAAAGCGTTGATAGTTTCCATCACGATTGCATTGGCGAAATTCGCAACTATGATAGTTGGCTCGTAAGGTTGTCACCGTTTGAACAATGTGAAAGGTACTATCACATTGCCGAGGTAGACGCATAGAACTATCATACTATCGTACCTGCAATGGTCTGCATGATAGTTTTAGTTCAATCGCAATAATGATAATAATCATCATAAGTACTATCATCATGGTGCGAATATTATCGTTTATATTTTTTCCAATAACGACCGCAGAAAAAAAAAACGCTAAATAGTTTGATTATAAAATGTTTAACCAACGTAAAATTGTGTTTGCGCCATATTTATTCGAATAATGGCTAACTCAACTTGATCGGATAGCATTTTTAATTATCGTACTAAATAATAATAATTATATTTTAATGCTATACTATAATGCGTCTATAACCATGGTGTAAACACATAATGATAGCACGGGTGCACATAGATGAAATTTCAGGTGGAGGGGTGTAAAATAAAATAAATTCCCAAAATATATGTTAAATGAACGTTTGAATTTCAATTAATTAAAATTATAAGTGTATATTATTCGTTCAGGGGTGGTGCTCCGCCTTCCCGGGCTTTCACGAACGACAGTGATAGTAATTTTGTTATTAAACATTGTCATAGATGCATGCCAGTCGATAGCACTTATCGCGAGGCCAATGAAAGTTATTATGGCTATCGTAAACTATCGTACTATTTCACTGCCGTGTCGTAGTTTTACTGGCGTTTTTATTGAAACTTTACTGTTATGTTTTCATTCTATAGCATCGCAGTCTCTGTGATAGTCACTATAGCGATATTGTTTGTTGCGACACCGCGAATCGCGATTGTCGATTAAAACATCGTGGCCCGTGGAGACCCAGGTTTATTGTAAATGGCGTTTTTAGATTGCGAGAAAATTACCTAATTAAAAAAAATATAGACTATTTAGATTTTATTGAATACTGATTTTCAATAATACCTAATCTCAAGCGTATTATTTCACTAAACATTGTATGCGAATAATTTTGACAATAGGTATAAAGGTATTACGACGGGTCTGCCGCGTAGTTTTCGGGTGCAAACCGGGCATTGGAAGTTTCAATAATATTTAAGAAAAAAAAAAAAAAAATCAAAAATCGTAATACGATTGTATTCGTTTGAATATCATACATTATATTATTATGAACATTGCACGTGGAGAAGTATATGATAATAATAATAATAATAATAATAATAACGTGTCAATGTTTTTGACAAACGGTGAAAACGCATAGTGAAACGGGCGTCCTGGAAGTATATTTTAGTATGTATTTTATTCAGATTTGGCGAATTACTTTTCGCGGGGAAAAAGGTACCAAGTTTGTGCTCGTATAAAAGGTATACTCGTATGATAATAAAGAGGGACGCGGCCGTTGTCGTATATGCTGCAATAAGGACACCGCATATACACGTGACACAGTCATTTCCCCATTGTATACCGCAGAAGTAGAAAACTATAATAACGTAGGTGCGTAGAAAATCGTATAAACTTGTTTGTAAGAGACTGTTCTAGAGATTTTTGGTCTTGGGCGAGAAAATAATCAGTGCAGGCACGTCGTTTCGATATTTTGTCGGACTGAAACAGGCAAAATTTACCTATACATCAAACCGATGAGGAAAGGAGCTATTAAAAAAAAAAAAACCTCATCGCTTTGTTCGAATGTTAAATAAAGGTATTTAAGATTTTCATGCTTACAAAGAAATATAGGTGCACATAATATTATATTGTACAAGTATTTTTGTTTTAAATTTTATTTTAAAATTCAAGTCGTGGAACCGGCGGAAAAATAGGGAAATCGAAAATTTTACTTTTTTGTGAATGTGTGTATATACGAATAAAACGTATACGTAACATTTTTCGATATTTCGACTTTCCTTTTAGGCTTTTAGGCTTATTAACCAGATTAACAACCAGACCTGGATAAATGCCCAAGTTGTTTCTTTCCAAATGCAAATGACATTGAAAACAACACATATAAATAGGTACTTTTTAAACAAAGAGTTTTTTTTTTTTTTAAGTTGAATAAACGTGATTGACAATAGCATCGTTTTTTTGTTTAATATTATTAACAAATTTATGATCATTATTTTTTTTTCTTCGCAAGTTTTAATTAATCTTTTACGAAACCCTTTTTTTTAATTTAAAAAAAGAAATAAACAATTTTTGATAATTTTCTCACGGCCTCATACCGCGTAGGAAGTTCAAGAAAAACGTTCGTATTAAAAATTGACCGTCTGAATTGAATTTAAATAAGGTACTAAAAAAACAATATAGCTACCTATATAACTACGTGAAGTCTAAAAAGTTACCGCGCATGAAGTTTTTCACGAGCATATTATTTATTTTAAGCTGAATTGTTAATTCTGCTAAA